ATGCATCAAAATATTGACAATGGTTATGGTTGGATGGGGAATTTACTTAACCTCTAAACTCTACTATATAACGTGATATATGTGTCTACATTCATTAACAGGCATTTTTAAATTTTGTTAACAGGCTTTAAAATGGGAACTTTGTCCTGTAACAATCATCTCCTGGCTAAATCTCTTTCTCCAAGTTGATGCTCTTAAAGATGCTCCTAAAGTTCTTCTACCTCAGTATTCTCAGGAAACATTCATTCAGATAGCTCAGGTACTGACATTTTTATTGATTCAATGGTAATATTATTATTAATTACAGGTTTTAGTGTATAGTCTTAAATAGGCTATATCACAAAATAATGACATTGACTTCACTCCTTAATTCTAGAACAAAACTTTTGATGCATAAAGTTCTGTCCCCAACGTTTATGTTGCTTAATGTTTCTAGAAAACAAAGTCCTTACACTTTTCTGAGTACTTTCATTCTTTAGGAGTCCAAACTAAAGCATCTTTTTTGATATAAAGGGGAAAAGCATTTTTTAGCTAGTTGTGTTTAAGCTTTATAATGGCACAGAATTATTCTGTATGATGTCTTTACATTTGGATACACAGAGTACCTATCCAGTTAAATATCAGAATTAAAATTACTTTGTTAAAAAAATTTTTTAGAACATAAATTCAAAGTAAACTTTTCCAGGCTAGCATATTTAACAAAGTAAGTAATTAGATGAGGAGGAGGAGGATCTGGCTGGGCGGTGTGGCTCAGGTCTGTAATCCTAGCACTTTGGACAGATGAGGCAAGCAGATCACTTGAGGTCAGGAGTTTGAGACCAGCCTAGCCAACATGTTACTTGGGAGGCTGAGGCAAGAGAATCGCTTGAACCTGGGAGGTAGAGGTTGCAGTAAGCCGACATCACACCACTGCACTCCAGCCTGAGCAACAGAGTGAGACTCCATCTCAAATTTAAAAAAAAAAAAAAAAAAAAAAAGGAGATCCCATTCTTTCTTGCTTACTTCTCGTAAGTAAGCTTAAGGCTGCTGTATCTGTCATATAACAAAAGTGAAGAAAATCTACATTCTTATTCTGTGTGGGAAGTGAAAAATTCAACATATGGAAGACATTTGCGGATGAATATTAAGTCACCTAGGTTAAAATTTGTGGGCAATGGTGCTTACATCTAGCACATTATGAATACTCAAATTGGATAACCACTAAGTATACTGGATTTGGTTTATAAAACCTTTTATTAAAAGCTTAAAAGCTTAATTTTTTCATCCAGAATTCTTAGCATCCCAGATTGTCCTAGGCAGCTATACCCTTCTGATAGGGTAAATCTTTGATAAGCCAATAAACAATGTAGAGTTTCTAGAGGTATATAACAGTAATATTTCACTTCCAATTCCCAACTCTTCTCCCATTTCTCTTACTTTCTGGACCAATGAGGACAAACAGAATTGAAATTTAATTCCGCTGCACAAGTATCTTCTCAAATGTGTGAGAAGTCCTTTTACACTATACCATTCCACTGCTACTTGTTCAGCTCTTATTGCCTAGATTATACAGCCTTTTAACTAATCTCACTGCTTAATAAACAGGTTTTCTTCTAGTCTGTTTTACTGCATTCTAAGGTACCTTTCTTAAAATGGAACTTTCTTGATTTAAAAATCTTCCAGTAGCTTCAAGAATCAGCCTATAAAGTTCTGACTTCTTAAAGACCCTTTGTGATCCAATCTAGGCCATGCCTCTCTCTAGCCACCACCCCTCATCTTTCTTGATAAGAAAAGAAGGAAAGGTACTCCTTGCTTATTTCATATTTTTCACCTTAGGAGTTCTGAACTATGAACTGAATTTCAAGTGATGTTCCTATACCTAGAACATTCTCTGCCTCCCAATCTTCCTGGCTAATTTATAAGACTCATTTATGGCAATTTGAGGCCATCACTATCTTTTCCAATCTGGATTTAGGTGCCCTTCCTGCTAGTACATGTCACATTGTACTGCAACGGTCCTTCCTTGTCTACTTCCTTCAGGTTGGTGGCTTATCTCTAGGTCCCTTAAAGTTTTAGCAAGAGACATTTAGTACTCATCCGTCTCCTAAATTGCTTGTACTTTTGTTTTTCCTTTGTTAGCTTTTAGATCTGTGTATTCTAGCCATTGATTCATTAGAGTTCCAGTACAGAATACTGACTGCTGCTGCCTTGTGCCATTTTACCTCCATTGAAGTGGTTAAGAAAGCCTCAGGTAAGACTCTCTATTTGTTGTCTTCTTACCTTTTCACAACTACTAATGGGACTATAGTCTCTGAACTTTAACATTCTGCTAAACATGAATTTAAAACTTTGGCAAGGCCGGGCACGGTGGCTCAAGCCTGTAATCCCAGCACTTTGGGAGGCCGAGACGGGCGGATCACGAGGTCAGAAGATCGAGACCATCCTGGCTAACACGGTGAAACCCCGTCTCTACTAAAAAATACAAAAAAAAAACTAGCCGGGCGAGGTGGCGGGCGCCTGTAGTCCCAGCTACTCGGGAGGCTGAGGCAGGAGAATGGCGTGAACCCGGGAGGCGGAGCTTGCAGTGAGCTGAGATCCGGCCACTGCACTCCAGCCTGGGCGACAGAGCAAGACTCCGTCTCAAAAAAAAAAAAAAACTTTGGCAAAAAAAAAAAAAAAATTAGCTGCTCGGTGATTACCTTTCTGTTAGAAGTACTTTCCAATCCTGAATGTGTATCTACAAACAAAAAGACCAAATGGAATTTAAATACAGTTGAAACGAATCAACATTATAGTTCTGCTTTAAGAGTTCTTTGGGATTTGACCATTTCAATTTCACATGTAGAAGGTACTGGTTAAGAAGTTCTGAAGTCCCTTTTCCCTTCAACATAGTCATGTAAATAGTTTGAGAGTGATAATCTGTTCTGACATACTAAACTTTTTGGTTATGATTTGTTTTGGTTTTTTAAAATAACTGTCTCAAAACCAGTACCAGGTACATCAGGCATATATAAGATAGTTTCTGATGTACAACCTTCATGCTTTTCTAACTTTTTTCTATCTAGGTTTGGAGTGGGACAGTATTTCAGAATGTGTAGATTGGATGGTACCTTTTGTCAATGTAGTAAAAAGTACTAGTCCAGTGAAGCTGAAGACTTTTAAGAAGATTCCTATGGAAGACAGACATAACATCCAGACACATACAAATTATTTGGCTATGCTGGTATGTTTTTTTGTGAGTTTTTTGGTTTTGCTATCTGAATCTAGTAAGTAACTGAAACTGATGGTAGGAATAGAGTTCTCCTTCAGGCAGTTATATAAGATGATCAGGGGAAAGAAAGTTCTAATGGGCACACTGATTTCAAAATGTAGAAAAGTTAATAAAATTACTTTGAAATCAAAGCAAGATTTGTGAAGTGTCTCAAGATCAATGCCAACAGTCTAAATAAGAGTTAAAAATATATATAACATGTTACAGAAACTTTCAGAATATGACCCTTCACACTTGCAAAGACATAAAAAGACTATTAAAATTAGACCTAAATAATCTCAAATAAGTACCCAGAAGTCTGGTTTGACTATGATTTCTTCCCATGTATAGGAAGAAGTAAATTACATAAACACCTTCAGAAAAGGGGGACAGTTGTCACCAGTGTGCAATGGAGGCATCATGACACCACCGAAGAGCACCGAAAAACCACCAGGAAAACACTAAAGAAGATAACTAAGCAAACAAGTTGGAATTCACCAAGTATTGGGTAGAACTGGTATCACTGAACTACTAAAGTTTTACAGGAAAATAGTGCTGTGATTGATTGTCCTAGCCAATTCATAAGTTACACTGCCATTCTTTGATTTTAAAACTTACAATTGGCACTAAAGAATACATTTAATTATTTCCTATGTTAGCTGTTAAAGAAACAGCAGGACTTGTTTACAAAGATGTGTTCACTCCCAAGGTTACTGGATAGAAGCCAACCACAGTCTATACCATAGCAATGTTTTTCCTTTAATCCAGTGTTACTATGTTTATCTTGATAAACTAGGAATTTTATCATTGGAGTTTTCGACTGGGTAAGTGCTACCTTAAAGGGTATATACTAAGTGATATGTACTTTGAATCTAGTTGTTAGATTCTCAAAATTCCTATACTCTTGACTAGTGCAATTTGGTTCTTGAAAATTAAACTTGTTTACAAAAGTTTAGTTTTGTAATAAGGTGACTAATTTATCTATAGCTGCTATAGCAAGCTATTATAAAACTTGAATTTCTACAAATGGTGAAATTTAATGTTTTTTAAACTAGTTTATTTGCCTTGCCATAACACATTTTTTAACTAATAAGGCTTAGATGACCATGGTGTTCAACCTGTGCTCTAAACAGTGGGAGTACCAAAGAAATTATAAACAAGATAAATGCTGTGGCTCCTTCCTAACTGGGGCTTTATTGACATGTAAGTTGCTTGGTAATAACCTTTTTGTATATCACAATTTGGGTGAAAAACTTAAGTACCCTTTCAAACTATTTATATGAGGAAGTCACTTTATTACTCTAAGATATCCCTAAGGAATTTTTTTTTTTAATTTAGTGTGACTAAGGCTTTATTTATGTTTGTAAAATTGTTAAGGTCCTTTCTAAATTCCTCCATTGTGAGATAAGGACAGTGTCAAAGTGATAAAGCTGAACACTTGACCTAAACTTCTATTTTCTTAAGGAAGAGTATCAAATATATACTGACTCCTAGAAATCTATTTATTAAAAAAAGACAAAAACTTGCTGTACATAGGCTAGCTATTTCTAAATATTTTAAATTAGCTTTAAAAAAAAAAATCCAACATCATAAAGTAGATTTAATTAGAAAACTAGATTGCTAGTTTGTTGTCAGATATGTGAATCTCTTCTCCCTTTGAAGAAATTATAAATTTAAGCTATTGTTATGGTATGAAGTCTTCTGTATAGTTTGTTTTTAAACTAATATTTGTTTCAGTATTTTGTCTGAAAAGAAAACACCACTAATTGTGTACATATGTATTATATAAACTTAACCTTTTAATACTGTTTATTTTTAGCTCATTGTTTAAAAAATAAAAGTTAAAAAAATTTAACTGCTTAAAAGTAAAGTTTTGCCATTGCTTGGAGAAACTTTTTTTTCCTTCTCTGCGCTGCCAGCTGTAACACTTCTTCTGGATTGCTTGCATTCAACTCTGTCTGGCCGATGGCTTTGATCTTCCAAAACAGAAAAGTGATGTTATTAGAGATGTGTCAAAAATTAAGTTTTGTTGGTACAAGTAATATAAAGCTACCTACATGCTAACAATGATAAAGTTTAATGATTAACTGAACCTCTAATTGTAAAACCCAAGAGTCTTGGAAAAAAATTAACATAAAGATTAACCAGGCCGGGTGCGGTGACTCACGCCTGTAATCCCAGCACCTTGGGAGGCCAAGGCGGGTGGATCATGAGGTCAGGAGATCGAGACCATCGTGGCTAACACGGTGAAACCCCGTCTCCACTAAAAATACAAAAAATTAGCCAGGCATGGTGGCGGGCACCTGTAGTCCTAGCTACTCGGGAGGCTGAGGCAGGAGAATGGCGTGAACCCGGGAGGCAGAGCTTGCAGTGAGCTGAGATCCGGCCACTGCACTCCAGCCTGGGCACAGAGCGAGAGACAGTCTCAAAAAAAAAAAAAAAAAAGATTAACCAGGGCCACTCTCAAGGAAAGATGGACTGCTGAGCCATAGTTTATGGAATTACTTAAGTGGCATTTTAATATATTAAGTAAATTCATGTAAATTTATTTGAAAGTATAAGTAAGTTCTACATGGTAATTTTTAGAGTTAAACTAGGGCTTCACTTGTTAATGTGCAAAAATAACTAGTGGCTCAGCACTATAGTGGCATACAGTGGCTCAACTTTTCACGATTAGAAAGAAGTGCCTCAACCAACTAAATATACACACTATTTTTTTTGCTATGGAGTGTTTAGGACCTTAAAATCTATAGATTTTTCTAAAAAAAAAATTTTTTTTTTTTGAGACGGAGTTTCACTCTTGTCACCCAGGTTGGAGTGCAATGGCGTGATCTCAGCTCACTGCAGCCTCTGCCTCCCAGGTTCAAGGGATTCTCCTGCCTCAGCCTCCCAAGTAGCTGGGATTACAGATGCCCGCCACCTGGCCCGGCTAATTTTTGTATTTTTTTAGTAGAGACGGGGTTTCACCACGTTGGCCAGGCTGCTCTCAAACTCCTGACCTCAGGTGATCTGCCACCTCAGCCTCTCAAAGTGGTGGGATTACAGGCGTGAGCCACTGCACCTGGCCTAGAATTTCTTTAAACAATAAGACTTCTGATATGTGGCTTGAAGAGAGAGATGATAATTCAGATATGATCATCAGGTATGGGAAGTTAGGGAATAGGAGAAATTGCTGGATGATGCCATTCAACATGAAGGAATGCATGTGGCAAAAGTTGGTAGTAGAGTACAACCAGAGTTGTTTCACACAGGTATCCCAAAGATAACTGGCTATAAAAACCCGAAGTGTGAGACAGAAATTGGAATTGGAGCCAGGTATTTGAGAAGTAATACACCCCATGTGGACACTAATCAAAACCGAGAATGGATTAAATTACCTAGGGAGAATGTAGGGTTACAGAAAAGTAACCCAAGGACTAACTTCTTGAGAAAACCAAGTTTAAGGAATAGGCAGAGGGAGACACCCACAACAAAGAAAAGGAAGAAATAGAGAAAGCAATCCAATAAAAATGTCAGGGAAGCCAAAGGAATAAAGACTTTCAAGAAGGAAGGAGATGTAATCAGGAAAAGGACTGGAAAGTATCCAGTGGATCTGGTGTTTGGTGGCTCTTGAGAGAAAAGTAAGAGCAGTGATGGCATTAGTCAAACTGCTGGCTTGAAGAGCTTCAAAAGCTAGGCTGAGAGGGATAAGGGGGCCGGAGGTGGAGGCACAGACAACAAAAACTTGTATTAGGATGAAATATCTTATAGACTATGGAGAGGCTGACGACATAGGAAATCATGTAACTCATTAAAAGGTTACTGAGGGGAGAGAATTCAAAACATAAAAATTTGCCTTCATCAAAGAGTAGTATAACCTCTTACGGGCTGCATAGTGGGCTTAACAATGAGTACAGCTGTAGATTATTTTAAAGGCAAGACGCAGCAAATGAAATAGGAATTTGAAGCTAGTACTCACAAGGTCACCATTCCCAAGACTAACATCCATGAGGACAGAGCCTGGCCAGTCTTCACTGGTATATGCCAAGCATAGAGGAGGTAAAGAAGTATGGAAAAGGTAGAGAGAGGACAGGGGCTTAAACAGGAAAGTCTAAAAATTAGAGTCCACAAAGAGAATGTGGACCACCAAACTAGTGGCAGGTAAAAAAGCTGACGGGCCAACTAAGGTTGGAGACCGGTTTGGCAGTGGCACCAGTTGTAGAACTTTTTCCAATAGTCTCAGTGGCCCAAGAAAATAAAACACATAAGTTACTGAACTTATGCAGGGCTAGGGCTTTCCCAGGTTAGGTAAAGGATAAAGTGAAGATGCTAAAAATATTGATCAAGAGTAGCTCTATCAGCAGGGGTTCCCAAACCTGGTTCATCATCAGACTACCCGGGAAACAAAAAAGGGATTCCAGGGTCCCACTTCCGACCAACTGAATCAGTATTTCTCAGTGTGCAGAATGGTATTTGTCGTACTTGAGATAAGTAGAGAAGGGAAGATAGAAGGGAATGACTGGGAAAAAAAAGTCACAAACCTGAACATCTCACTGATCGTGAGGGGCTCAGGAGCCAGGAAGTAAGAGAAGGATAGGTTATGGGCAGAAAGTGGGTTGCAGTATAAGATCTTACGTAGAATAATTTTGAGTGGCTGGTACAGAGTAAAAATAACACTCCATAGACCTGAGGCTGACAAGGACTTGTAAAGTCCTTGGTGACATCAGGGTGACAGGTAAATTCATCACGTCTTTTGACACATGTAGAGGAACAACCAGATGCTTACATGAGCTAGTAAGGAAGTAAGGTATGAAGGATAAGGGTCTCAAAAAGTGATAGAAGTAGAAGTGGTTTGGAAATAGCAAAAGGGAGCTAGGAAAATTTTTCAATATTGCCTTCCAGCCCCAGGTAAATCAGAAAAGGGAGAATGAATAGCCTCCAATCAAGTAGAACTGGCCTTTATGTTCTTTTTCCTTTTTTTTTTTTTTTAAGTGCTGTTGTTATTCTGTTTCTTCTAAACAATGGGCATACACTTTAGTCCAAGTACAAAGTTTAAAAGACACTTAATAAATAGCATTTTTAAAAATATAAGTGAAAGAGCAAAGAAAAGATATGTGGTGATACTGCTGCAGTAAATGTTAGACAAGTAAATATGGCCATACAATTTAAAATGTTTTGGCCCATACATCAAATTTAGATACAGAGTTCATCTAATCAGTGATTCTGGGGCACCTAATATGTGCCAGACACCATTCTAGGTAACAACTATGACAAAACAAGTCCTTATCCTCATGGGGAAATAGATATTAGGTAAACATACAGTATGTTAGATGTTGACAACTGTTTCAGAGAAAAATGTAAAAAGAAATGAGAATAAGAGTACTGGAGGGAAAAAGAAAGCAGACATTGTTACTTTATAAGATGATCAGGAAAGGACTGAGGAGACACCTGAGGGAAGTTGGATGTTCTTGGAAGAGAAAATTTCAAAGGCCCTTCTTAGGTGGTGAATGTTCTTGGCTTGTTCAAAAAACAGGAGGGGTACTGGTGTAGCAGAAAGTAGCAAGGAGGAAAAGTCAGATGGATAGGCTAGAGGTCAACTTGTATATAGCCTTATAAGCCATTGTAAGACTTTTAACTTTGTGTGAGATGATAAGCCATTAGAAGGTTTGGGACTGAGAAATGACATGCTCTAATATTTTTAAATAACATATAATGACATGGAACAGCTAAAATTATCAAAAAAGGATCTTTTATGATGTAAACACTGATAATAAAGTTCTGGCAGTAACTAGGCACACAAAATCTATTTTTTGTTGGTTCACATCTTAACAATTGTTTAATATTCTGGAAACTACCACTGAAGAAAGGCATAAGGTAACTTACTGCAATTTGTCTTTTATCTGTTTCTCCTCTTTTATGATGAAGATCTAAATAATCAGTTAAGAAAAATAAATCTGACAGTATTAAATATAATGAGAGAATCTCAACTCATTTTCAGTTTTGATTTGGAAAATATACAATATTAAATATTCCTTTAACTTATAGAAATGGATCATTCTAACATCACACACATTGATGAAAGGATACAAGTCAAGTATTCCAAAATAGTAACATCCCATATGTAGTCGTAGTAGGAGTCCATAGCATCATGACTGAAAGAGAGAATTCAGTTACTTCTTAAGCAGAAAAATGTTGACCTCATTATTTTAAAAAAATTATTCATACCTGTTTTGTTCTTGCAGAGATTTAAACGCTGTTTTGTAGTCAATTTCTCTGAGGAACTGACATAAAATGGCCACCTACATTAACAAAGATTTGAAAATGGTTTCATGTAATGAAAGCTTGGTTTTACAGGGTAATCTTGAATTATTTATATGAAGAATATATTCTTGAAGAAACCTTATAGATCACATTGAATCAGCTCATTTATGGATTCCATCCAATTTTAAGTTCAAAAACCTTTATACACGTGTCTGTCTGACCACTATTTTCTTCATCAGTGACCTAAACCACAAATTTTTAGAGGTCTGTTTGAATGAGAAGCTGGCAAAAAGCCAGTTCAGAAAACTGAAGGGAGTGGAAAACTGCCAAGCAAAAGTGTCATGACATTCAAGGACATACAGAGCGTGCAATTAAACCTTTCACAGCTGGCAAGTATAGATGCTCATTTTGGCAAAATTTAGGCTGCCAGTCTGCTTAACATAGAAAACATTTCACTCAGGTCATAATGTCCATCTCTTTAAAAAATAGTTTTTATTGATTTAATTCACAAACCATAATAGTTACCTTCTTAAAGTACCCAATCTGGTGGGTTTTAGTATATTCACCAAGTTGTACAACCATCACCACTATGTAATTTCAAAACATTTTCATTACTTCCCTCAAAAAAGTCCATTAATTAGCAGTCACTCTCCACTCCCTCTCACCTCAAGCCTCTGATAACCACTAATTTACTTTGTCTCCATATGAATGGAGACATTTCATATGAATGGAATCATAGACTATGTAGCCTTTTGTGTCTAGCTTCTTTCACTTAGTATAATCTTTCAAGGTTCAGCCATGCTGTATCACGCAACATTACTGACCATTCCTTTCTATGGCTGAATAATACATCATTGCATGGATATGCTGCATTGTGTTTAGTCATTCATCATTTGATAGACATTAGGGTTGTTTCTACTTTTTGGCTATTATGGATAAGCCTGCTGTGAACACTTGTGTACAACTTTTTCTGTGGACATACGTTTTCAATTCTTTTGGGTATATACCTAGGAGTGAAACTGCTGGGTCATATAATAATTCTTTTTACCTTTTTGAGGAACTGGGAAACTGTTTTCCTGAGGCTGCACCATTTCGATGCTACAACATTTTATATTCCCACCAGCAACATATGAGGGTGCCAGTGTCCCCACATCCTCACCAACATTTGTTTTTAAATGTCTTTAGATTACGGCCATCGCAGTGGGTAGGAAGTGGTATCTCATGGTTCTGATTTGCATTTCCCTAATGACTAATGCACATTTCTAATCTAAAGTATCTTTAAAAACTTGAAAAATGCTTTCTTCCCATTTAGGAGGTTTAAAGGTCAATGTTTTTAATTCATACTTTCATTTTAGTTGACACTGTATAAACTATTAAAAAAAATTAAAGAATATGCCAAACTCTTACATACCCTAAGTGATTTCGATATGTAAAATAAAATACAATTTCCAGTTCAATGCTTTATTATAAACTCTAACATACATAAAAACAAAACAACTTCATAATATTATAAACTAACCTGTGTGTGGCAATTCAGCAAAGAACAACATTTTATCATTCGTTTTATTACCTACAAAAGCAAAATTCTCATTATTTTCAAAAACCAGCTAACATGGATTGTAACAAATGTGCCACTTCACAAATGTGAAGCTGTGTGTGGAGGAACAGGGTGTATATGGGAACTCTGTACCTTTTATTCAATTTTGCTGTGAACCTAAAAGTGCTGTTAAAAAAAAAAAAACTAAAAATCTAATAAATGTTCAATCTTATTTCAAAAGCCATTATAAGTATTTTTTAAATATCATTTAAGTTATGATACTGGTAGCCTACATCAGAGGAAATAGCAACGCATACCAAAAAAAAAAAAAATGGACAAAATTTGATACCAGGTGCAGGAATGGGGAGGAAATGGGAAGAAGTAGTTCAAAGGGCACAAATTTGCTATTACAGTAAGTCCAGCAAGCTGATATACAGTATGAGGACTAGAATTCATTATACTGTACTGTATAGTAAAAATTTGCTAAGAGTAGATTTTAGGTGCTCTTATCACAAAAAACGGGTAACTAAGGAAGGCAACAGATATGTTTTTTGTTTGACTGTAGTAATCATTTCACTGTGTATATTAAAACATAATTCTGTATATCTTAAATATATACCAAAGAAATTAAGAAAAAAAAAAAAAAACCAGGGATTTAGGAAATAGAATCCATATGATTTGAGAGCTAACTGGATGGTGGCAGGAGGATCAGTAAAGAAAAAAGTCAAAAATGATGGCCAGGGTTTGGGCTTGAACAACTCAGATGGTTAAACAAAAAAGTTTGTTTGGTATTTTGCAGTTTTTTTTTTTTGTTTTTGAAAGGGCACGTGAATTTATTAGGAGTGTATTAGGAGTTTATTACTTTATGGTAAAGTAAGATACAAATCAGTTTGGACAAGTTGAATTTGAGGTGTTTTGGGGGAATCAAGACAGCAATAAGTGCTAGAAATAGGGACAATGAAAATACAGAGAGCAATCTGTTCTAGAGTCATGAACCTGGGACTTACAATCACATTACAAGGAAATGGGTAAGTTCAGCCAAAAGGGGGCCCATGAAGAACATATACAGGTAGGCAAGAAGCCAGCCAGCCCATGAAAACAATTTACCTGGTCTGTATAAACATCAGGGGGCACAGCTTTGTTAAAGAAGTCAGAACACACAGCTCCTGCCTGGAGGTAATAGTGAAGAGCTGCTGAATACTGATTCGTTGCTGAAACAGAAAAACAGACATAAAGCATTAGAGGTAACAGTTGAAAAACAGGGCTTCCTTTGTGAAGAGTCAGGTGAAACTTCGTAAGTTAACACAAGCAGATTAAACCACAGATCTAGAAATAAAACGTTAGTTCATATTTCTTGCCAAATGTCCTTGCACAGAATTTAGTATTTGGAGATTTTACTTCCCAAATGTCCAAATTAGAAACAAATTATAATTTTGTGAAGTAGTTCAGAATCGGTATATCAAGAACCTGACAGCTATCAAGCTGATATCTTGAATTTGATAGATATCAAGAACCCGATAGCTTCTTTTGGGGACTGGGGTGGAAATGAGCATTAAAATCAGCATTTGCGTCAAAATAATCCAGAGGAGAGAAGAATGATGCGGGAAAGGGCACACATGAAACAAGACTGGCCATGAGCTAATTACTGTTAATTAGTAGCTAGGTGGTAGACACATGGGTGTTCAGCCCACTATCCCTTTTATCTTCATATCTTGAACTTTCCCTTTAAAAAATTCAACTCATTAGGAAACAAACACGATAGGAAAAAATCTTAATTAAAAACCAACTCCTAAAACACAGATTCTGAAATGATTCTAGTCAGAAATTTTATTTGATCTGTAGAGTAACAGAAGCACTGAAAGTTTCGTATCAAGTGGGAAAACCTTATCACATACAACCCAGCACAGGGGTAATGGGGAGAGTTACCCCTATCTCCAAGAATAAAAATAATGATCAAGTGTATCTGGAGAGAGTTTAGAATCTCTAAACAGCATTTTAAAAAGAAAACCTCATTCTCCTTAAAGATGTTTTACCAATTAGATTAAAAAAATTCATGCCGGGCTCAGGGGCTCACGCCTGTAATCCTAACACTTTGGGAGACCGAGGCGGGCGGATCACCTGAGGTGAGGAGTTCAAGACCAGCCTTGCCAACATAGCAAAAACCAATATCTACTAAAAATACAAAAATTAGCCAGGCGTGGTGGTGGGTGCCTGAGGCTGAGGCAGGAGAATAGCTTGAACCTGGGAGGCAGAAGTTGCAGTGAGTCAAGATCATGCCACTTCACTCCAGCCTGGGCGATAGAGTGAGACTCCATCTCAAAAAAAAAAAAAAAAATCACTACTTTTTTAAAAAAGATAATAAAGGGGCCGGGCGCGGTGGCTCAAGACTGTAATCCCAGCACTTTGGGAGGCCGAGACGGGTGGATCACGAGGTCAGGAGATCGAGACCATCCTGGCTAACACGGTGAAACCCCGTCTCTACTAAAAAATACAAAAAACTAGCCGGGCGATGTGGCGGATGCCTGTAGTCCTAGCTACTCGGGAGGCTGAGGCAGGAGAATGGCGTGAACCCGGGAGGCGGAGCTTGCAGTGAGCTGAGATCCGGCCACTGCACTCCAGCCTGGGCGACAGAGCGAGACTCCGTCTCAAAAAAAAAAAGAAAAAAGATAATAAAGGTAGTCCACATAAAATTAAAAGCATCTGAACCAAAGGTTCCACACTAAAAAAAAGTATAAATACTTTTACCGCTTGAATTTACTAAAGTAAATCTCAAGAAAAACTTAACAAGTATTGTAATAAAATAGGTCATATATTTACTTTTACTTCAGAAAGTGCTATAAAAACAAAACACAAAGCAACTAAACATCTCACTTACCAAAGTAAATATCTGCCTGAATAATTAACCAGGAATGGTTATTTGGATTTATACTGAGTGTGTATCGAACTAGCTCTTTCACTGTGATTGCGACAGCTTCAAAGTCCACAGACTGCAGGCTAAAAGGAAAGACACATAACATTAATCTCTATTTTAAAAGTCAACTTTAAATTCCATGCATGTATTTATTAAAAACAAAAAGACTCAGCCAAGATTTAGGTGAACATAAATATAATGCTAAATACTAGGAGTAAATGTACTATAAGAACTATCAACACAACTAAGTCTAAGAAAGTGTGATGGGCTAACTTTTTATGAGGGGTTGAAAACAATCTGATATTTGTTCTCTTTTCTTCAAAATGTCAAAGGTAGACAAGGCTGCACCAAGAAAGTGTATTTGCATCTTTTACAAATGGTTAAAGCATATAAAAGTAGTAAGACACTTACCTTTGCTTTTAGCACAATTTATGGGCAACAAAAGAGACTCATAAAATGTCCCCAAATTATTTTTCTTTTTTTTTTTGAGACAGAGTCTCACTCTGTTGCCCAGGTTGGAGTGAAGTGGCGCGATCTCAGCTCACTGCAACCTCCACCTACCGGGTTCAAGCGATTCCTCTGCCTCAGCCTCCTGAGCAGCTGGGATTACAGGCATGCGCCACCATGCCCAGCTAATTTTGTATTTTTAGTAGAGATGGGGTTTCGCCATGTTGGCCAGGCTGGTCTCAAATTCCTGGCCTCAGGCAATCTGCCCATCTCAGCCTCCCAAAGTGCTGGGATTACAGGCCTGAGCCACCGCACCTGGCCCCCAAATGATTTTTAAGTTCTGTTATCTATGAGAAGCCACAAAAAAATCAAGGACTCAGACACTGATAATGTTGCCACGTGGCCTTACATCCACCTTAAGGCTTCTTGCAAGAGTTACCGACTCCCCTCGAGATGTTTCAGGGGCCCTAATGGGGTGAGGGGCTGGATGTCCAAGTATATCACGTCAGTGCATTTGGCAGCCCCCAAGAATCAAGAAAAGGGTACTGTGAGCCTCGCTAAATGTGGACACATTGAGGTACAGAAGATGGAACTGTGAAGAGAAAAGCGAGGCTGGCACTCAAGAAACTGCTAACTGCTTCCACCTCCTAAGAGCAGTAAAGCACAAGGGTAGAGAATACAAGCTGTGGATTCAGACACATGGCTCTATCATTTACAAGGTGAATTCAGACAAGGTACTTTTGTTGCCCTGAGGGGTTACAGTTTACCCTAACTCACCACTGTGCCCAGTACAGTGGAAAATGAATTGTGGGATTATTAGCAAATAGTCAATTATTTATTTAAACTTAAATAGTTATATAAATTAAATTGGCTTATAATTTTATAGACATTTACAAAATATTACAAGTCTATGAATTCTATATATCAAATAGTTGGTTTTAAAAACGTAATCTTCAATCCAGTGCCATTTCCACTATTCTTGGAATCAATAAAGACTCCCACTCAGGAGAAATACTTTTCTCTAGTCAAACATTTAGTCATATTTTGTTTTCTCTGGGTCAATTTACATTAAAGTATTTTCATCATGAAGGTAATAGTTAAGCCTACTATGTACCAGTCTTTATTCTAAATATCTAGCTTAGAAAATGTATTATTTCGTGCAGGGCATGGTGGCTCACGCCTGTAATCCCAGCACTTTGGGAGGCTGAGGCAGGTGGATCACAAGGTCAGGAGATCAAGACCATCCTGGCTAACATGGTGCAACCCCGTCTCTACTAAAAATACAAAATATTAGCCGGGCGTGGTTGCAGGCACCTGTAGTCCCGGCTACTTGGGAGACTGAGGCAGGAGAATGGCATGAATCCAGGAGGTGGAGCTTGCAGTAAGCCGAGATCACGCTACTGCACTCCAGCCTGGGTAACAGAGCAAGACTCCGTCTCAAAAAAACAAAAAATAAAAAATAAAATTAAAAAAAATTTTAAAAAGAAAAGAAAATGTACTATTTCATCAATTCTGAGGCAGGTATTATTTTAGAGACGGGGAACATGGCACAGAAAGCAACTTACTGAAGGCATATACCTCTAAGTGAAAAGGCTAGGGCTCAAACCCCGGGTGACCTATAGCCCTTAGGGTAAACAATTCCTATGCCTCATTTATAAACACGCTGGAAATCAATCATTGCAGTCTAAACTTAGGCCACAGAGGTACTACTACAGAGGCTAAAAAACACAACCACTGGGTGGGGCGTGGTGGCTCATGCCTGTAATCCCAGCACTTTAGGAGGCCGAAGGGGGCAGATCACAAGGTCAGGAGTTCCAGACCAGCCTGACCAACATGGTGAAACCTCATCTCTCCTAAAAATACAAAAATTAGCTGGGTGTGCTGGCATGTGCCTGTAATCCCAGCTACTCAGGAGGCTGAGGCAGGAGAATTGCTTGAACCTATGAGGCGGAGGTTGCACTGAGCTGAGATCATGCCACAGCACTACAGCATGGGCAACAGAGCGAGACTCTGTCTCAAAAAAAAAAAAAAAAATTAGCCAGGTGTGGTGGCACATGCCTGTAGTCTCAGCTACTCAAGAGGCTGAGGCTGGAGAATTGCTCAAACTGAGAAGGTGGAGGTTGCAGTAAGCCGAGATCATACCACTGCACTCCAGCTTGGGTGATAAGAGTGAGACTCTTCTCAAAAAAAACCCAAAAAAAAAAAAACAAAAACCAACCATTGAAACCACCAATTAAAAATGCAAAACTGGGCTGGCCACGGTGGGTTATGCCTGTAATCCTAGCACTTTGGGAGGCTGAGGGGTACAGATCACCTGAGGTCAGGAGTTTGGGACCTGCCTGACCAACATGGAGAAACCCTGTATCTACTAAAAATACAAAATTTGCCAAGCGTGGTGGCACACGCCTGTAATCCCAGGTACTCAGGAGGCTGAGGCAGGAGAATCGCTTGAACCGGGGAGACAGAGGTTGCGGTGAGCCGAGATTGCGCCATTGTACTCCAGCCTGGGCAAAAAGAGCGAAACTTTGTCTCAAAAAAAAAAAAAAAAAAATCCAAAACTGGGCAGGCATGGTACTCACGCCTATAATCCCAGAGCTCTGGGAGGCCAAGGTGGGCGGATCTCTTGAGGCTAGGGGTTCAAGACCAGCATAGGAAACACGGTGAAACCCCATCTCTACTAAAAATATAAAAATAAATAGCTGGGGGTGGTGGCGTGCACCTGTAATCTCAGATACTTGGGAGGCTGAGGCATGAGAATTGCTCGAACCTGGCAGATGTAGGTTGCAGTGAGCTGAGATCTTGCCACTGCACTCCAGCCTGGGCAACAGAGCAACACTATGTCTCAAAAAAAAAAAAGAAAGAAAAAGTATCTCTACCTGATTCCTGGACTGCTATCTAACAGATTTTATATAAAAATCAGAAACACAGCATGACGGACTCTGCAGTTCAAATGCTGTGAAGCACACACATGTGCTTCATGTAGCATGGTGGTCCCTTGGGAAACAAGCCTCAGTAAGTGGAAGGCAGGGGCACTCACCTGCTCTGACCCTCCAAATCCCTGGACAAGACAAGGGAGCTTTTCCAATCTCTAAGATTGAGATGGAAACAAATTCTTTACTGTTATTCTATTATCAGCTTGCCTGTGCACTGAAATCTTTTATTCCTCAAAGATGCCACTAAGAGTCATAACACAAGGCTTGAACAAGCACAAAGTAAGAAGAGTGAGAGGGAAGGCAGGGAGGAAAAACACTTGGGAGGAAACAAGTGGATTCCCCTATATGAGAAGTTGCTATGTGTGGGAAAAGAAAAATGTAAATGATTCCTTCAAGTAAATGAACACTTTTTCCTTCCCTAAAAAATGTCCCCATCATCTTACTGTGATTCTTAGGTAATGCACGCAAAAGGGAATATTTCTCAAAGTAATTAAAGAAGTTTAGCTTAGTTCCTACAGCAACTAAAAGAGATTGGGAGACTTTTGATAACTACAGCATTGGATGAGACATACAAAAAAATTATGAAAAAACAAATCACTTTCAAATGGATACTCGTAAAAGAAATAAGATGCTGGAAACCTGATAGAAAGTCTTTCTTTCATTGGCCCCAATTTTCAAATTCTACTGACAATCAGGACCACTTTATCTTCTGTTCTAAGGCTGATAAGACTCCTACTTAAGAGTTATGCTGGGCCGGGTGTGGTAGCTCCTGCCTGTAATCCCAGCACTTTGGGAGGCTGAGGTAGGTGCATCACTTGAGGTCAGGAGTTTGAGACCAGCCTGGCCAACATGGCAAACCCACGTCTCTACTAAAAATACAAAAATTAGCCAGGCGTGGTGGCGGACACCTGTAATCCCAGCTATTTGGGAGGCTGAGGCATGAGAATCGCTTGAACCCGGGAGGCAGGGGGTGCAGTGAGCAGAAATTGTATCACTGCATTCCAGCCTGGGCAACAAAGTGAGACTCCGCCTCAAAAAAAAAAAAAGTTATGCCTTATCCACAATTTATAGGAAAATAATTATCAAATAGAGAAACACAAAGACTGTAGAATCTCAGCAGATTTCTGGTCCTTTAATAAAATTATCTAAAGGTATCTTTGCTAGTCAGAATGGTTTCCAAATACATAACTCATTTAATAAAATATAAGCTATACCACTACTTACTTGGGAATGGAAGATGGCCAAATAGAAATGTGTTCAGCTGTAATATCATTCACAATGTCCTCCTTTAAAAAGAAAAAAGGTGTGATTTACAAAGAAATTTCTTTCAAATTTTTTAAATGAAATTATGAAATACTTACCCGAACATTGTGAAGTTTCACAAAGAGTGATAAAATAATAGTCAAAACCAGTGGTTCCTATGAGAAAGAAAACACAGAATCCTTAAACAGTGTGTGTGTATATTTATTTTTCTCCTGTCAACCTCACAGACATCAAGCAATTTAAAAGACCCTTGCCTTTTTAAAATTTAGCATCTGTTTTAGCATGTGCTTTAGTACACTAAAAATCAACTTTATTTTTAATCACGTGTGGGCAGGGGGGTGGATCATAGCACATAATTTATATAAAATTAGCATATTTAAATGTTTGGCTTATGGTGCTATCTCCAAGCTCAACTCCTCACATGACTCTTAAGTGGCTTTTTATTCCTTCAAATAATGTTAAAAGGGTGAAACCTAGGTTATGTCCAGTAAATATGACATTGATCCTACTAAGCAAAAATTAAAGTCAGGCTTCACACATCTAGTCCCTATTATGAAGACTTTTTTACAATTTAAAGAAATACCTGCTCCGTTCACTAAAACATGGTAAAGTAAATGAAAAACTTTTCCAATCAGATTATCCCACCCAACAATAATGATCACTGAAGAAAAGCACATTAACAGGCCACTTTAATAATTTAAGCAGAAGCCAGGCAAGGTGGCTAACACCTGTAATCCCAGCACTTTGAGGGGCCAAGGAGGGAGGATCATTTGACACCAGGAGTTAGAAACTAGCCTGGGCAACAAGGGGAGACCTCATCTCTACAAAAAGTGAGCTGGGCATGGTGACATGTGCCTGTAGTCCCAGTTCCTCAGAAAGCTGAGGCGGAAGGACTGCTTAACCGCAAGAGTTAGAAGATGCAGTGAGTTATGATCACACCTCAGCACTCCAGCTTGGGTGACAGATCAAGACCCTCTCTCTTAAAAAAAAATTTAAATTAAAAAACAAACAATAATTTAATCAGTATTTGAAGTACCCAATAATTTTTAGTCATAGTCTATAATAACCAGCAATAGTAATTAGAGCAATTTTTAATAAAACTTACTCGTAATTTTTTGATAAAAGAAAGCAGTTCACTCCTACAAAACAAAAATTTTTGAATATACATTAAATATTAGAAATTAAAAATAAAATCAAGAAAGTAAATTATAGATGAAGGTTTATTCTTAATGCTCCAATTCGGCAAGGCAAGTATGAAAAGGAATGTAATATTCTATCGTCATACTAACCTAATAACATTTCTTCCCTGTTTTAATCACATGTGAAGTCTTCAATACTATTCAACCTTAAACACTACTGATTTTTAATTCCAGTTGATTAAATGACTAATAGTTTCTTAAAATGACACATAAACAGAAGATATTTCCAAAAGTGGCCAAGGCAGACAGGCTCATCACAGACGAGTACTACAGAACTCGTAAGATTGTCCAACTTTATGATATACACAATAAAAGCTGATGTTCTTGAAATCAACCTTTAATAGGTCAATAGTATAAACAGGATAAATATTAAGAACTCGAACACAACTGACAGAAACATACCAATACATACCGATACATGATACCTAACGTAGATTCCCTCTGCTTTATTAGACTAACTCTGCCATCATTTCCTCGTTTGTGCTGACTGGACACACTACAGATTTGAACAAAAACTTCCCAAAGGTCTTTGGCAGTCCGTCTACTTTCTTTAGGGCCTGGAAGTTCTTTGCATGTAGCTGCTAAAAGCTGTCCAAGCTATAACATGAAAAACAAAACACACAAAAGATAATCTGTAATGTCATGCACATTAGTTCTATTATCAAGGCACACTGGAGGAAACATGGAATGACTGCCCAAACATACTAAGCACAGTTATTTTATGCTGTGCATTCTGTACAACCTTTGAGGAATTTAGGGCTCATTGTCTACTGACAGATCTGAATCTGGGAAAGATCCTCTGGTTCAAGCATACAAACTTTGTCTCCGAACAATTATAGTCTAGTGAAAATGAAAATGAGATAATGCAAAGAGATAGGTGATTTATTAAGTGGAAAAAAAACCGAGATGCTAAATACACATAGTATTATCCCACGTTACATCGGGAAAAAATTGTGTAATGGAAGGCATACACCTAAATGTTAACTGTAGTAAAAGCCCAGGGGGTGAGATTAAAATACTTAGATTTTTCTCTCTCCCTTGCACACATATGCACACATACAACTTCTTATCACTTAAAAAAAAATTGTTTCAATGAAAAAAATAAGGAAAGGAATAAGGAAACTGAAGTTGGTGGAATTAAGGGATACAGATTTAAAGCAATTTTTCTCTAAGAAAATTGGTAGCAACTGGGAATGGAGCTACTGCTCATCTGAGGAGGTAGAATTAAGGCAGGACAGGTTATATAAGGTGACTGGTGTGAATAAATGCAGCCTCAAGGACCTAAGACGTAGGGAGCACCCAGAAATAAAGAGTGGAAAAGCTGAAAGCAAAAGACAGAGAAAGACTAACTTACAATAAATTCAGAATTTCTTTTTTTTTTTGGGAGACAGGGTCTTGCTCTGCACCCAGGCTGGAGTGCAGTGGCATGATCTTGGCTCACTGCAACCTCCGCCTCCCAGGCTCAAACGATTCTTGTGCCTCAGCCTCCCGAGTAGCTGGAATTACAGGCATGTGCCACCATGCCCAGCTAATTTCTGTATTTTTAGTAGAGACGGGGTTTCACCATGTTGGCCAGGCTGGTCTCAAACTTCTGGCCTCAAGTGATCCATCCACTTCGGCCTCCCAAAGTGTTGAGATCACAGGCGTGAGCCATGGCACCTGGCCAAATTCAGAATTGGGACCCGTTATTCTTGTTAACTTTTATACTCCATGGCTCTTGTAGAGGGTGCAGTAACAAGGATAATTTCAAATCCATCAGGAACCCCTTGTTTCTACTTAAAATGGACCTAGAAAATTTTCTAGGGGTCCCTACTGCTTAAGGCAGCTTTTTTAAGGCGGCAGCAAGATTGCGACAAAGACAAAAATTGGTGGTTTTTCTCTACATTTTCTGTTATGAAAAATTTCAAACAGAAAAATAAAAAAAAAATTCAATAAATACCTGACACGTTGTGACTATTCTGCCATGTTTGCTTTATATATCTACATAAATTGTTTTGTTAAACCATATTAAACTAAGTTAGACACAATATTTCATCCCTAAATACTTCCATATACATCTTCTAAGGACAAGGACATTCTTCTCCATAACCACAACTCTGTGATCATGCCTAAGAAAATTAACGAGAGTACTGTGGCTTTCCAAAGCTCATGAGAATAACATAAAAATCCTACCTATACCAGGTGAATGGATATGGACCAATGGCCTAGTAGGATATTTCATCCTGCATGCTCACCTAAAATACTCGCCTCTGACAAATGGAATCACGATACATGCAACTATTCACTGCAGTGTAACGCCAAGGATACTGGTGCTCTTAGCTCAAATTCATCTTCTGTTGTCAGGGATCATATGCTTTAGGTCACTGAATTTATTACATAAATTACATTTTTAAAATGTTCAGAGGTCTTAGGCCCCAAATCAACTGAATTCCACAAACATTCTTGAGCACCGACTATGGGTGGGCATCATGGAAAGCACAACATAAAAATTAACTGCCCTGAAGCAGTTCATTGTCTTATAGAGAAGACAAGTGGATAAATAACTTATTATTCAGCATAAACACAACAAAAGAAATAGTCAACAGTACAACAGTACAAAGGAAGCAAGAAGAGGAAGTGATTTACTCATTTACAGAGAAAATAATATGGGAAAGCATTAAAGAAATCACACGAACAGGCAAAGCTGGGAAGGACATTCTGGCTAAGATAACAAACAGCATGTGCACAGGTGCAAAATGGAAACATGGCGTGGGCATGCTGGTGCTGCCAGCACAGGGCTGGAACACCAAGGGGCAGGGGAGCTGCACCTGGAGGAAGAGAAGCATGCACACCTTAAGAGGGCTGGTAGGCCACATGAACAACCTAAGGTTTTAGCCTACACTAGGACCACTGTGGCTGCCAACCCCTACTACTACCACCTAGGCTCTTATCATCCGAGTGCCTATAAACCTGTGCCCTTTCCATTATGTGACACTACCACTCTCTCTGATCTAAGGGGCAGACTAGACAGTTTTATATTATTTCAAAAGGGTGCATTTTAGTCACATGCTTAAGAATTTTCTGTTCCTATTTGTGATTACATAATATATAAGTAGGAAAATATAACAGAATAGAAAACATTAAAATAACTAATACCCCATTATCCAGAGATAATAGCTGTTAATATCCTTTCAGACTTTTTCCTACACGTGTGTGCGTGTGTGTGTGGTGTATTCCACACCAAACTGGAAGTGTGGACACTGATTCAGATTATATTTTTTTTCAAAACACCATCCCTCATTCTAAACTTCTTTCTCTAATTCCTTTTTCCTTGACATTAACAAGGCAGTGAGAGGGCAATCATGTATGGAAGGTGGCACACAAAACCCTAACCACCAGATGACATATGAGGAGACACCTAAGTGACAATTCTTTCGCAAAGTCACCACACATCCTTCCTGCTTTTGGACCAGATCAGGGGAACTGCAGGAAGCAGTGAGACAGCCTCTCCCAGAGTAAGGCAACCAACAAAACAATTTCCTGTGTCCTTACACATTGTAGACCCTCAAGCATTCATTACACAAACACATGCCTATCTCTCCTGGTGCACAGCTCCACAGAAGTCATTGCCAGAGGTAAAGAGAAGAGTTACTCTACTATCTTTGCACTCAGTGACAAGCTACGATTCTAAGTGTAAGAGATAGTAACCTTGGAACAAAATGGTTCCCTCATCTGATTTTCTTAAAGGCTAAGAAAAGACTGTTGGGCATAATGAGACAAGTACTCAAGAAATTAAGAACTCACATTCCAGAAAGTTCACTAAAGAGACAGAAATGATTCAGGCTGGGTGCAGTAGCTTATGCCTGTAATCCCAGCACTTTGGGAGGCCCAGGCGGGTGGATCACCTGAGGTCAGGAGTTCGAGACCAGCCGTGGCGAAACCCGTCTCTATTAAAAATACAAAACAAAAAAAAATTACCCGGGTGCGGTGGTGCACGCCTGTAATCCCAACTACTTGGGAGGCTGAGGCACAAGAATGGGTTGAAACTGGGAGGTGGAGGTTGCAGTGAGCCGAGACTGTGCCAATGCACTCCAGCCTGGGCAACAGAGGGGGACTCAGTCTCCAAAAAAAAAAAAAAAAAAGAAGAGATAGATATGATTCAATGTCTGAAATTTCAAAGAAAAGGATAATTCAAGTATGGCAATTTTCATGAGCAAGTGTAAAGATAACAGAAAGAGGTGGAAAACTGAAAAAAATCAATAAACTCTCAATAAATCCTCAAAGGGTTAAAATGAAATGAGTTCAGTTTTTAAAAGGACATACATGAAATATGAAGGAAGAAACAAGTAACCAAACACAAATGTTACGAAGTGGTACAGTTTTACATGAGTTCCCAGATAAACACAGATTTAAAGGATTTTGTATTACTAAAGATAAGTTGGGACAAACGAGGAAGAATAACAAAAGGTAATAGGAACAAATAAAATAATGAGAAAATCTGAAGGACCAAATATACCCAAAAAGGAGAGTGGGACTTACAATGTTAAATCACTACATGTTTAACTTTGTTTTTTGGTGTTTTTTTTTTGAGATGGAGTTTTGCTCTTGTTGCCCAGGCTGGAGTGCAATGGTGTGATCTCGGCTCACTGCAACCTCTGCCTCCCGGGTTCAAGCGATTCTCCTGCCTCAGCCTCCTGAGTAGCTAGGACTACAGGTGTCCACCACCATGCCCAGCTAATTTTTGCATTTTTAGTAAAGACAGGGTTTCACCATATCGGCCAGGCTGATCTCAAACTCCTGACCTTGTGATCCACACACCTTGGCCTCCCAAAGTGCTGGGATTACAGGCATGAGCCACTGTGCCTGGCCTACCTTTTTTTTTTTTTTTAACTGTAACACCAGAAAGTGAGAAAAACTTACTACTTATTCAGTTTGTATAATATTAACACATGAAAGATATAATCTTAGAAGAAACCTCCAGTTTCTCATTAGTTTTGATATTTTCTGTACTCAGAAGCATTTTAGGTTGCAAAGGATATAATTAAGACAACAAAATAAACAACTTACTACCAATTTACTGAATAAATTCTTTTATTAGGGGAATAATTACTAATAGCAAACCTGTTAGAGATTCAGAGATAGCAAACTTAGAAGGGTAAAATTCTAAAGAAGAATAAAGTGTTCAAATGGAAACAAGGAGAAGTGCATCCCTGACGGACTCCATCAGCTCTAGAGTGTGATTATAGCAACCAAAGCAAAGAAAGTGAATCTCTCATTATCTTAGGATTACACCAACGTGTTATCTGTTAACTAAATAATCTGTGACTACATGCTCATGAATTATAGGGCATTAGAAAGAAATATTAGAACAAGGTCAAGTGCATAAATTACCAAAAACTATCCTTTAACTACAAATCAACAAGCATTTGTCCAATCATTTGTATCACAGAAATTAGACAAGTTCCCAAACTAGTATAGAGTTAAAGAAACAAGTATAATACTATCCTCACAATCCTTTTATTTAAACATTAATTACCTTAACATATGGATTACTCTGAAGCAAAAATGCAGGAACTTGGAGTGTAAGGTATTCACTTTCCCTCCAGTTTAACATAAAGGCAACACATTCCTCAGCTATAACTTGACGAAGAGGAATATCTAAAAAGCAAAGAGGAAAACAGTTGGAATTACCATCACAACATTAAAATAAGAACAAAGCAAATACTTGCTCAGATTTCAATTGAATTAAAAAAACAGGCTGGGTATGGTGGCTGACACCTGTAATCCCAACACTTTGGGAGGCCAAGGCAGGAGGATCACTTGAGACCAGGAGTTCAAGTCCAGCCTGGGCAACAGAGTGAGACCTTGTCTCAAAAAACAAACAAAATTTTGTAGAGACAGGGTCTCGCTCTGTCACCAGAATGCAGTGCAATGGTGTGATCATGGCTCACTGCAGCCTTGAGTTCCCAGGCTCAAGCGATCCTTCCACCTCAACTTCCCCAAGTAGCTGGGACTACAGGTCCCACCACACCTGGCTAATGCCACCATACCTGGCTAATTTTTGCATTTTTGTAGAGATGGGGTCTCACTATGTTGTCCAGGCCAGTTTTGAACTCCTGAACTCCAGTGATCTGCCTGCTTCAGCCTCCCAAAGTGCTGGGATTACAGGCATGAGCCACCACACCCAGCCTCCTTATTTTAAATACTGCTTATAAGCACAAGCTATAGGACAAGTTGCTGAACATTTAGTAAGTTAGGAGTTTACAAAAATTATATGCAGAGTTATCAGTCCTTTACCCTCCCTATCCCCAAAAAAGGGATGTGAACTACAAACTGATAAGCCAAAAAGGTAGTACAAAGAGACTAATAATTTAAAGGAACTTTCACCCATTTCAAAGAGTAAAAGCATAGGCTTCGAAGTTGGGCTGATGGAGTAAAGTCATAGCTCTGTCTCTTCCTGTGTGACTGTGGGCAAATTCCTCAACCTCTCTGCACCTTGGTTTCTTAGTTACAAAATGGGGATAAGGAAACAGCAGCTATTTCACAGAGCTGCTATGAGGACTAAATGAGTTATGCACCTGAAGCTTAGAACAATGCCTGACACGTAGTTAGCACTCAACAAACATTAAGGTTTAAACATTGCCTCATTTCAGAAAAACCATGCATGGAAAACCTACCTCCCACTTTTAAAAAGTAAACATGTATACAGCAGCATGTGTCCTTTAGTGCCAGCATATTATTAGATCAATTTTCATGAAGACATTACAATATTTAAGAGCACTGATGTGTTAAAGCTCAAAGGCATTCTCTCTATAGGGTACTAAAAAGTTGTGATCTATCACTGCATGCCCCTGCTGGAAATTAGACTTTAATTAGAAATTAAGTTAACCCCATAGGACTCAAGATGGTAGCACTTGCTTCTATTCTGACACATTACTATCACCTTCCTTTATAATGCAATTCCACTGTTTATACTATTAAATGTGTACAGTATGATTTAATTGCTCTAAATACTCCTAAAGCAGAAAAATAAGAAACTGCTTTAACTAAGAAAGATTTATATGTGTCACAGATGATCATTTATATGGTAAGCCCCTTTTCATAGTAAGACATTTACAATTAGAATTAAACACTCAAGATCTGTTCCTAAAGTAGCCACCAGTGAATTTCTAGCCCAATGGCAATCAGTGTGAAGGCATTTTATGGCTGTAATGAGGAAATAAAACTTCAATCTGTATACTAAAGGACATTTTGATTCTTTCAAACACCTGAAAATTGCAATATAGTTTCTCTAGTGTGCAGAAGTATCCCCTATAATTCATGTGTACCTGGAACCTGAGAATGTGACCTTATTTGGAAATAGTTTTGCAGATGTAATTAGCTATGATCAAGTCAGCTGGATTAGGGCTGAACCTGGATCCAATGACTGGTGTCCTTATAAGAAGAGAACATGGACATACACAGGGAGAAGGCCATGTGAAGACAGCAGCAGAGACTGGAGCAATGCAGCCACAAACCAAAGACTGCTGGGCCACCAGAAGCCAGGAAGATGCAAGGAAAGAGTCTTTCCTGGAGCCTTTCCGGGCAGTACAGCCCTGCAGACACCCTGACTTCAGACATCCGGCCTCCAGAACTGGGAGATAATATATTTCCATTGTTTTAAGTTACCCAGTTTGTGGTACCTTGTTACAGAAACCCAGAAACGAACAGTTTCCTTCATTTTTCCCAATGTTCTCAAGTGAACACCAAACCCAAATTCTGTTTTAGGAGTGAAATAACTCTTTTCAAAGAGGATAAAAATTCAGCTGGGTGTGGTGATTCATGCCTCTAATCCCAGCACTTTGGGGGGGCAAGGAAGGTGGATCACCTGAGGTCAGGAGTTCAAAACCAGCCTGGCCAACATGGTGAAACCCCATCTCTACAAAAATACAAAAATTAGCCGGGCATGATGGCGGGTTCCTGAAATCCCAGCAACTCAGGAGGCTGAGGCAGGAGAGTCACTTTAACCCAAAAGGCAGAGATTGCAGTGGGCCGAGATCGTGCCATTACATCCAGCCTGAGTGACAGAGCCACACTCTTGTCTCAAAAATAAAAAAAAAAGATGATTACAAACTCAAATAAATGTGCTTTTAAATTTTTCCCCACAATTATCTAAGTACTGAGTTTCTGAAATTTGTCTTTGTGAACCAGTCTTACCAGGAAGCCTCATTTCCAGATAGCCTCGTACCCTACTTATAAGGTCGGATGGCGGTCTCTCTCCTGCCTGCCCTGTCCCAGCTTCATGTGTATGAATATCCAAAAGCAACATCTCATTCAGCATGACCTGACGAAGCTTTGGTGAGAACTCTGTTACCAACTCCAAACAAGCAGCAAAGAGCTGTTTAGCATGGGAAAAGTCCTATGAAAAGAAAAAGAATAGCCTGGGTCACCTTTCCTTTGGCGCCAAAAAATGTGTGCCTTTATGATGACAGAGCAAAGAGGAGAAGGATTAGTTCAAATGGTTAACGTTGCTTTTCTCAGGGAGTAAGGCTCGATAGGATTTTCATCTCTGTATTGTTGATTTATTCCAATACATATTTAATACCTTTGTAATTTAAAAAAATCCAGTAAACAATATAAAATACCTGCTGTATTATGAAACTTTTATAAAAGTTATAAAATAACCAAAGACTTCTGTATTATACGGGTGTAAAATTCTATTACAAGCACCCTCCTCCATCCAACATATTCAGAATTAGATCTTAGACCATTCAAGGATTACACATTTCAAAATCTTTGCACACCACCTTACTAGCCTATAAAATTGGCTAACAAATAAAATGAAATAAATCAGCTATGATCCAAGTCCTTTCCTACACATCTCTTATGTTTCTAAAGACTAGATTCTATCGCTCCACATACTTCATTCACTCCCATAATCTGGCTTCTACCCCTATCGTTACAAAGAAGTAGCCCTCACAAGCCAAAGACCTTTTTTTTTTTTTTTTTTTTTGAGGTGGAGTCTCGCTCTGTCGCCCAGGCTGGGGTGCAGTGGCCGGATCTCAGCTGACTGCACGCTCCGCCTCCCGGGTTTATGCCATTCTCCTGCCTCAGCCTCCTGAGTAGCTGGGACTACAGGCGCCCGCCACCTCGCCCGGCTAGTTTTTTGTAAATTTTAGTAGAGACGGGGTTTCACCGGGTTAGCCAGGATGGTCTCGATCTCCTGACCTCGTGATCCGCCCGTCTCAGCCTCCCAAAGTGCTGGGATTACAGGCTTGAGCCATCGCGCCCGGCCAAGCCAAAGATCTTTTAATTGTCCAATCTACTGAACGCTCTTCTGTTATCTTACAGGAATTAGGGGGCTGCAACTCGGTGCTGTGTATTGCCCTTTTCTTGACATTTTCTTTTCCTCTAGCTATTACACCTTCTACATTTGTCTGGTCCTCACGCCCATCACACCACTATTTCTTGGACTCAGTATTGCATTCCCGAGGGTCTCACGCTCTTTATATTCTCTCTGGGTGATCTTTGGTAACTCCCAAATCTGTAACTCAGTCCAGACCATTCTCCAAGCTTTAGGCTGTTTCCAACTGTAGCTTCAAATTAAAATTGTAAAAATAAACTCGTAATCTGCCCTGCAAAAATGTGTTTCTGCACATTCACTTGCTAGCATTGCCACTGGTTCTCTGACTCTCAAACCAGAAGTCTGAGCATCATGCTCGATTCGTTCTCCTTCTCTTGCCTTCCACATGAAGTCAGTTACCAATTGCTTCCAGATTTTATCTCCTAAATAGTTCTCTAATATGTTCTCTTCTCTCTATCCCTTCTAACACTGGTGACACTAGCTGTGTGCCACTGGACAATTTAATACCTTTAAAACTGAGATAATACTAGGCCGGGCGCGGTGGCTCAAGCCTGTAATCTCAGCACTTTGGGAGGCCGAGGCGGGTGGATCATGAGGTCAGGAGATCGAGACCATCCTGGCTAACATGGTGAAACCCCGTCTCTACTAAAAATACAAAAAACTAGCCGGGCGTGGTGGCGGGCGCCTGTAGTCCCAGCTACTCGGAGGCTGAGGCGGGAGAATGGCGTGAACCCGGGAGGTGGAGCTTGCAGTGAGCCGAGATCGCGCCACTGCACTCCAGCCTGGGCGACAGAGCGAGACTCCGTCTCAAAAAAAAAAAAAAAAAAAACTGAGATAATACCTTCCACAAAGTTTTTGTGAATAAATGAAACAATAAACATATATGAAATTGCAGAACAATCTTTGTGCCCAGTAAATGTTATTTTAGGTGTGGAAGGAGAAAAGCTGCTAACTACATTCCTCCTATTAAAACTTTTCAATGGCTTACAATTGTCTCATGATGCACTGTCCAATATGGCAGCCACTAGATAAGATGTGGCTATTGAGCATGTGAAATGTGACTAGTCCAAATTGAGAGATTCTGTAAGTATAAAACACTTACTGGATTTTGAAGATTTAGCACATACATTTTCAAAATACAAAACATCTCAACTTTTTATATCAATTACACATTGAAATGATAGTGTAGACATACTGAGTTAAATAAATCATTTCAATCAATTACACTTTTTTATGAAATTATAGATTACACACGTGGCCTACATTATGTTTCCACTGACAATGATGGTCTACAGCAGCAGTTTTCAAACTTCAGCATGCAACAGAATTACTTGAGGGCTTATTTAAAAAGATGTTGGGCCCCATCCCAGAATTTCTGATTCATTAGGTCTAGGATGCGGCCCCCAAATTTTTATTCCAGCAAGTTCCAGCCACGTGCAGTGGTTCATGCCTGTAATGTCAGCACTTTGGGAGGCTGATGTGGAAGGATTGTTTGAGCCCAGGAGTTCAAGGTCAGCCTGGGCAATATAAGGAGACGCTGCCCCTGCAAAAAAAAAAAAAAAAAAAATTCTTTCAAATAAGTTGGGCATGGTGGCACATGCCTGTGGTCCCAGCTACTTAGGGGGCTGAGGTGGGAGGATTGCTTGAGCCAAGGAAGTCCAGGCTGCAGTGATCATGCCACTGCACCTGGTCTGGGCGACAAAGCAACACCCTGTCTCAAACAAAAAGTTCCCAAATGTCACAGATGCTGCTGGTGTGGGGACGTAGTTAACTTATTTAAGCCTCAATTTTAGTTCACTTCTGCCTTCCAGATGCTGTCTTTAACCTTCCTAAAGAACTCAGTGTATGATCAGTCACGCAACTGCACTGTCTTATATGATTTAACATTACACTTAAGTCTCAACATCCCAGACTACAAACTCATGTAAAATACACTACAGAAGTAATTTTTAAAAATTTTGTTTTCTAATCTTGGTACACAATCTTTACTAGCTGAATCCTAAAGAATACAAATAATATCTTTGCATGTTCTCTAAACTTTTAGCACAGAGCAGTATTCATTTGATCAAGACTATTTTAGTATAATTATAACAGTAAAGGAAAGAGAACAAACCAAAATGCCTTTTCAAATATCCTTTTAAGCCTATGACTGTGATTTTAAAGATTAGGAAAAGGTAAGTTCTGGTTCCTGACTTCCTGCTAAAATTAGTAAAGCATATTCTTTTTTTTTTTTTTTTTTTTTTGAGATGGACTATCACTCTGTCACCCAGGTTGGAGTGCAGTGATGCAATCTCAGCTCACTCCAACCTCCACCTCCCATGAGATTCTCCTGCCTCAGACTCCAGAGTAGCTGAGATTACAGGCACCGACCTAATTTTTGTATTTTTAGTAGAGACAAGGTTTCAACATGTTGGCCAGGCTGGTCCTGACCTCAGTCGATCTATCCACCTCAGTCTCCCAAAGTGCTGGGATTATAGGTGTGAGCCACGGCACCTGGCCATAAAGCATATTCTTAACAAGTGTTTGATACACACTTTTACTCACCTTAACAGTACTGCAGTGCAAACCTTTGGCCATAAGAATATAAACCAAATCTCTTGTTAAATTGTCTTTAATTCCCAGGATAACACCACTATAGACAGAAGGTACTTCCCACTAAAAGAAACAAAAAATACATACATATATATATACACACACACACACACACACACACACAGAGAGAAAGCCAAATCTGGATAAGAATCTTTCAATAATCTTCAATCGCATTAAAAAAAAATAATTCACAGGTCGTCTCTTAAAGAGAAAGGAAAATCACAGCCATAATATAACACTAATGAAAATGAACACATTCACTACAATCAACAAGTAATAAATAATGGATTGGGATTACTATTAGGAAAAAAAGACAAAGACTAGGAGTTTTATATATATTAATTCAGGTTATCCTCACAACAATACCAAGGTAAGTACTATTATGCTACTACTGTCATTTTGCAAATGAGAAAACTACAACACAAACAAGTTAAATAACTTGTTCAAGATTATACGGCTATTTAAGTATGAGCTGGTATTCAAGCTCAAGCAGGCAGTTAGTCCCAGAATCCCCTATCATAACTATTATGCTATACTTGTCCATCTTAAAAATTTTTGGTTTTTGATTTTTGAGATAGTCTTGCTCCATCACCCAGGCTGGAGTGCAGTGGCGTGATCTCTGCTCACTGCAACCTCTGTCTCCCAGGTTTGAGTGATTCTCCTGCCTCATCCTCCCAAGTAGCTGGAAATACAGGTGCACGCCACCATGACCAGCTAATTTTTGTATTTTTAGTAGAGACGGGGTTTTGCTATGTTGGCTAGGCTGGTCTTGAACTCCTGGCCTCAAGTGATCCACCCACCTCAGCTCCCCAAAGTACTGGGATTACAGGCATGAGCCACTCACCTGGCCTTCATCTTAAAAATTCACACTAACAAATAGCATCAATACTAAAAAAAAAACCCCAACTAATTTTTAGAGCAATTTTTTTCTTTTCACGCTACTTGTATGTTTAAACCCAATTTAAAAAAATACAGGTCGGGCGCAGTGGCTCATACCTATAATCCCAGCACTTTGAGAGGATGAGGCAGGCGGATCACCTGAGGTCAGGAGGTCAGGAGTTTGAGACCAGCCTGACCAACATGGAGAACAACATGCAGAAACCTGTCTCTACTAAAAATACAAAACTAGTCAGGTGTGGTGGGGCAAGCCTGTAATCCCAGCTACTCGGGAGGCTGAGGCAGGAGAACTGCTTGAACCCGGGAGGCAGAGGTTGCAGTGTGCCAAGATCGCGCCACTGCACTCTAACCTGGGCAACAATAATGAAACTCTGTCCCCCCCAAAAAAAACCCCATACATTTCTGGCTGCCTTTTTACTACATCTTCAGCAGAGGAAGAGTAAGTACGGAGTTAATTAGGAGCATTACGATATTGCTTTACTTTCTACTGTATCTGTAGATTACTTCCCTTGTATCTCTAAGCTACATTCCACTGACATGGCATGTTAAAAGCTATTTTCATTTGCACTTTCTATGCAGGAAAACTTTCTAATAGATAAACTCAGAAACAGGTAAATGTATTAGCTGGAAATTTTTAAAGGAACATTTAAAGCCAAAAATGCTCCATGATGAAGTATTATGCTACAGAATGCATAAATAATATACCAGTTACATATATTTACAACTATTTTTAAAATGCAGCCAGGCGTGGTGGCTCACACCTGTAATCCCAACACTTGGGGAGGCAGAGGCGGGTAGATCACTTGTGGTCAGGAATTCAAGACCATCCTAGGCAACATGGTGAAACCCCATCTCTACTAAAAATACAAAAATTAGCCGGGCATGGTGACAGATGCCTGTAATCCCAGCTATCTGGGAGGCTGAAGCAGGAGAATCACTTGAATCTGGGAGGCAGAGGTTGCAGTGAACCAAGATCGTACCACTGCACTCCAGCCTGAGTGACAGAGTGAGATTCCATCTCAAAAAATAAATAAATAAATGAAATAAAATGCATATATTTTGTCAATAAATGGAAAAACTGATTTTTAGATGTTATTCATTCAATGGTATCTTTTTGTTTCTGACATTTCCTATTTTCTCTGTCAATGGATGTTAAAAATGCAATTATGGTCATATGAAGGTCTTAAAAGTGTTAAGTAAAAGAGGTCCTTATTATCAAAAAGGTTAGGGAACAGCTTTTCTATTAAATTACCTCAGAAAACAAGGGCAATTTTCTTATTTGTTCCTTGACATAGGGTTTACCTTATTAGACACTGTCCAGAATTGACGCTCTGAAGTCATACCATGTAATTCAATCAAAATTTGTCTAATCCTCCAAGGATCCACTGACAATATTAGTTGATGCTCTAACTGACCAATGTTGACACTTGCTGAAGCTAAAAAAAAGATTTATATTTCAGTGATTTAATTCAAAGATATACATATGAGAATGAAAATTTACTTAAAATTATGTATTTTATATTACATCTATAAATTAAAAGCTGCTATCATCTTGAGAACTGATTCAACATTGTGTAAATTACATATTAACTTTATCCTCACATAGAAAGCCTAACACAATTTTACTATATCTACATTTAATAAATGAATGCGTTTTAAAAATAAAGATAATGAAAATATAAACAAGATAAAATCAATATTTAATTCATGCAAAGAACTATGTGGAATATATGAAAATAACTTATACACACTTATACACTACTTAACTTATACACTACTTTTGAACATAATGTGTTAACAAAAGCATATATAAAATGTTAATTTTGAGTAATAAACATTAAGCATGTGGTTTTTGAGAGAAAGGGGCATGCTCTTCCCAGAGAACCAAAAATGATTACCAAAATACCTAATTACAGCTCAGCTATCAGGCACAGTCTTCAATAATGCATTTCCAGCATTTCTGTATGTGTTAACCTTACCCTTTTCCTTTATAACTGGACATTCAACCAGTTTAAATCTAGTGAAGGTCAAAGAAACTAAAATTTTGCTTTTGTTAAACTGAATTCTCTCTCATCTATATTAAATGTTGAAGTGTATGTTTCTTATTTAAAAATAGCATTGTTATTTTCTACTTACATTTGTAAGGGCAAAAACGGGAAAAAAAATCAAATAAATAAGGCAAAAATGCCAATACTGACAAAAATGTTCAGCCAGCAGATACTAGCACAGTGATACAGACTGACATGCACGAAAGTCTGTCGTCTTTTTGGTCCCAGCATCTCAACCACTCCTCTCCCCCTCCTTTTTTTTTTTTTTTTTTCTTTTTACCTTCATGAACATATTGGCAGCAGTGTTACCTTGGTCTATTTCCCCAGCTAAAATCTTTTATGTATCTAGGCCTGAATCTGCACTAATCATTGGCTTGGCAGAGCTCCAGAGCATAGCTGCTTATACAGAAATCTGATATGGAAGACAGGTGAATTTCTATTAATTACCAACACAAGTGTTAATTAAAACAAATAAGAGAGAATCCTCAAATATATTTCAATGTTAATTTGAATAGAGGGGCAAAACATGCCAATATTTTGGCTGGCAGACTAGAGAGCTAACCTGGGATATCATAAAATGAAGTTACAGGTTTAATGCACAGATTTACTCTAGGGGATCTCTTCCTCATCTGATCAACAAGTAGCTTTCGTTCTTCATCTTTCAACAATGTAATGAAAAGCTCATGTGAAGAAATCATGAAAACATACTGCAGATCTTCCAACCCCAGACACACATTCCTAGATCAGTAAGAAATATTGTGAAACAAAAAAGTGTATAATTTAGTTTGAGAAAAACAATCATATCAACCAATTTTAATAAGCTATTTAAAAAGTCACCATTAAAGAAGCTGTATAACGATATTTTAAAATAGATTTTAAAATTTCCTTTTGGTCCTTATTTAAAATTGTGATGTCAATGCCACAATATTAAAAAAAGGTAACTATATAATCCTAACGTCTCACGTGGTTATACAAATTTGAACTTAATGGATTCTCAAACACCAGTTACTCCTTGGTTAAAAGATACCCAAGACAAAAACAAATATAATACAGATATTTTTTTCACAGGACTAAGTTCAAAGTTAAAAAAATAAAGAAAGAAAGAAAGAAAAAAATAAAAGAAAGATACTTACTTTAGAAAAGCAGCCATGTTTCCTTTCAAAGACTCTGAAGCTTTTTCTAAATTTATTGATCTTGAACATACCTAGGAATTTGAGTAATTTTCATTTGAATATGGGTACTTTTAAAAATGTAAATTATAATTTGAAAAGGCAGGATTTAAAAACAACTGAATTTTCCTTTTTCAACCATGTACCAATCACAGATTTGGTTAAGTAACTTAACAGAAGAGACGAGACCAACGAATAAGAACCCATCAAAAAGAGGGAATGGAATGTGACCATTTTAATAAGTACAGGTGTATACAAGTACCAAAGAATAACCTAGTTACCATGCTATACAGTTCTCACAGAATTTATCAAGTATGTTGCCAAATTATATTAAGTGATAAACCACAGAAATCAGTAGCTCCTGTCAGAAAAGAGTTAAAAAAATAAAAAAATGTTAAAACCAAAAAGAAAATAATTGAAAATAATAACTGATTTATCACAAATATAGAACTAATGGTTCTATATTCATGAGCTATTCATGAATAGTTTAAAAAGGTAACCAAGGTTTAAAAAGTAAACAATGCCAACAAAGAATAGACACTAGTTATGGTTATATTAGTTATCTACAAATAATATTTTCATATTATTTTGAATTTATTCATTAGATTAGGATTCCTCCCCATATATTATTTATAAGAAGCCAAAATAAAATATAACTAGCGTAAAAGTCCATAATCTCAAGACATTGCTAAATATTTTCTACGTTGACACACACAAAAAATAGAATGTTCATAGTAGTATTAATCACAGTAGCCAAAAAGTAGAAACTGATGAATGAACACACAAATACAGTATATATCCATTCAATGAAGTACTATTCAGCCATAAAAAATGAAGTACTGATACACTCTACAATATTGAAAACATGCTAAGTGAAGGAAGCCAGTTACAAAAGATCATCTATTTCATAGTTCCATTTACACAAAATATCCAGAACAGATAAATCTATAGAGATAGAAAGTAGATTATTAGTTGCCTCAGGTGGTGCGAGATTGAGAGAAAATGAAGAGTGACAGGTAATGAATAAGAGATTATTTTTCTGGGGTGAAAACAGGAAGTGAAGTGATAGTTGCCCAACTCTAGGAATATACTAAAACCCACTGACTTACACACTTTAAATGTGTGAACTGCATGGTATGTGAATTATATCTTGATGAAACTGTTATTAAAAAAAACAGGCTGGGTGCTCATGCCTCTAATCCCAGCACTTTAGAAGGCTGAGACAGGTGGATCACCTGAGGTCAAGAGTTTGAGACCAGCCTGGCCAACATGGTGAAACCTTGTCTCTATTAAAAATACGAAAAAAATTACGTGGATGTGGTGGCGCACAGCTGTAGTCCCAGCTACTCGGGGAGGTAGAGGCAGGAGTATCACTTCAACTCAGGAGGCAGAGGTTGCAGTGAGCCGAGATCAGGCCACTGTACTCCAGCCTGGGCAACAGAGAGAGACACCCTCTCAAAAAAAAAAAAAAAAAGGCAGTGTTTTAAAAGTACTGTGTTCAAATACCATTCTCTGATTAACAAATTAACCTATCAGTAAATAATATCTGAGCATCTTGGAGTATGTATTATACACTTACATTCTAATAATTTTGCTCCTTTGCTGCCATATGTAAATATATTATGGTAAGTAATAAATATCTGAGTCTCCTTTTACAACAGATTATTTACTCACATAGTGAGATGCATTGTACATGTGTCATGGAACAATGTAGGGAACACGGGTTAACTTCTGATTAGCAAACCTAACAATATAAAGAAAATGAAGTAGGGCATGGTGGCTCATGCCTGTAATCACAGCGCTTTGGGAAGCCGAGGTGGGTGGATCACCTGAGCTAACAGATCATGTTATGTGAATGTCACACACCTCAATTTTAAAAAAGAAAAATTCACACTAGTGGGCATCTCAGTAGATGCTTTAATATTAAAATAATAAAGTTTAATACTAATAAACAAGATGAAATGGACAAATCCTTAGAAAGTAACTTTTAAAACTAACTCTAGAAAAATGAGAATACAGCTCTAGGATCACTGATCAAAAACCTTCCCACAAAAAAATTACCCAGGCCCAGACTTTACTGGTAAATTCTACCCAACACTGAAAGGGCAATGACTTCATTTTTACACAGACTCTTCCAGACAACAAAAAAGACAGACGCCTCAACTTATTTATAAGGCAAGCATGACCTTGACACCAAAATCAAAGGCAGGACAAGAAAAAAAGAAATTTGTGCATTGCCAGGTGTGGTGGCTCACACCTGTAATCCTAGCACTTTGGGAGGCAGAGGTGGGAGGATCACTTGAGGTCAGGAGTTTGAAACCAGCCTCGCCAACATGGTAAAACCACGTCTCTATTAAAAACATAAAAAAATTAGCTGGGCATGGTGGTGGGTGCCTGCAATCTCAGCTACTCTGGAGGCTGAGGCAGGATAATCACTTGAACCTGGCGAAGGAAGTTGCAGTGAGCCGAAATCACACCACTGCACTCCAGTCTGGGTGACAGAGTGAGACTCCATCTCAAAAAATAAAAAATAAAAAAATAAAAATATGTGCATCAATCTCACACATGAATGTAGAAAAAAAAATCTTCATATATTGGCAAACCAAGTTCAGCAATTTCTATTAAAAAAAGATCAAGACCTAGTTGGGTCTATTTCTGACATGCAAAGGTGGTTTAACACTTGAAAATCAATTATACTTTATCACATGAACAGGTAAGGAGAGAAATTATGTGATCACTTCAATAGACATAGAAAAAATATTTAATACGATCTACAAATAATTCATTATTTTAAAAACAGGACCTTCAGTGAACTAAGGAGAGAAGGGAACTTCCTTAATCAGATAAGGAATAGCTACAAGAAAAACCTACAATAAACATCATTCTAAATGGTGAAATAGTGCTTTTCCCTCTGAGACTGGGAGTGAGATGAGGCAGTTCACTATTCCCACTTCTACTGAACACTGTACTGGAGGTAATAGCCAGCACATTAAGAATAAGTAAAAAGAGGCCGGGCGCGGTGGCTCACACCGGTAACCCCAGTACTCTGGGAGGCCGAGGCGGGTGGACCACCTGGGGTCGGGAGTTTGAGACCTGCCTGACCAACATGGAGAAACCCATCTCTACCAAAAATACAAAATTAGCCGGGCGTGGTGGCGCATGCCTGTAGTCCCAGCTACTCAGGAGGCTGAGGCAGGAGAATCACTTGAACCTGGGATGCAGAGGTTGCGCTGAGCAGATACCGCATCATTGCACTCCAATCTGGGCAACAAGAAAGAAACTCCGTCTCAAAAAACAAAAAGTAAAAATAAATCAAAATTAAAAGGTTAGAAAAGGAATAAACAAAATGCATTCTTCACAGATGACTGCATACATAGAAAAATGAAAAAAATATGGATAAAACAGAATTTTTAGAAGCTAAGCAAAGTTGTTGGATATAAAATTATTAGAAAGTTAAATTATACCTCTGCATCAATGCATAAACTATTTTCAAGTCTACATTTTAAGAATATAAAAATTTCAGACTCCTATGGAAAAATTAGAAAGTTCTAAAGGATACTAAAAACTACCTAAAGAAAAAGAGCCCTCATACCCATTCACGGGTTAGGACACCCAATAATGTAAAGATGTAAATTATTGGGGGTCTCCCTAAGCATACTTTGGCTTGGGAGGCTGCCCATAAAATTTTTTCTAATATAAAAAAGAAGCTTAAAAAAAAAGAGACATAATTTCTTTCTAAACTGGTTTCTAAATTTAATGTAATTCCAAACAAAAATACAACAGATTTGTGGAACTTGACAATCTGAGTCTAATGTTTACACATAAAAATGCAAAGGACTGCCGGGCGTGGTAGCTCATGCCTGTAATCCCAGCACTTTGGGAGGCCGACACGGGCAGGTCACGAGGTCAGGAGTTTGAGACCAGCCTGGCCAATATGGTGAAATCCTGTCTCTACTAAAAACACAAAAATAAGCCGGGCATGGTGGCGCGTGCCTGTAATCCCAGCTACTTGGGAGGCTGACGCAGAAGAATCGCTTGAACCCAGGAGGCAGAGGTTGCAGAGGTTGCAGTGAGCTGATTTCATGCCACTGCACTCCAGCCTGGGCAACAGAATGAGGGCCAAGAATAACCAACACAACCTTGAAAAAAAAGGTAGAACTTGCTCTCAATGGTATCAGGATGTGGACATAATGAGGTATGGATAGACAAATAGAAAAGTGGTATAAAATGGCTCAGAAACAGGCCCATACATATATAAACACCCGGCATACAATAAAGGTGGCCCTAGAGATTGGTGGAAAAAGATTAACCTTTCAGTAAATGGTGCTGGAACACTTCCTACTTCACACAAAAATCAACTCTAGGTTGATTAAAGATGTAAATGTGAAAGGAAGGCTATGCTATAAAGCTTTTAGAAGATATAATAGAAGAATATCTTCATGACATGATAGGAAAAAGCTTTCTTAAGCAACACACAAATCACTATAATGGAAAAAAATTGGTAAATTTGATATTCAATTTAGGAGCTTTGGAACAATATAAAGAAAATTAAGCTGGGCATGGTGGCTCATGCCTGTAATGACAGCACTTTGGGAAGTTGAGGTGGGCAGATCACCTGAGCTCAGCAGTTCAAGACCAGCCTGGCCAACATGATCAAACCCCATATATACCAATAATAAAAAAATTAGCCAGGAGTGGAGGCACTTGACTGTAGTCCCAGCTACTCAGGAGGCTGAGGTGGGAGGATGGCTTGAATCCAGGAGGTGGAGGTTACAGTGAGCTGATACCACATCACTGCCACTCCAACCTGGTCGAGAGAGTGAGACCCATCTCAAAAAAAAAAAACAAAAAAGAAAAGTCAAACTCAGGAGACATGCTGCAATATTAAAATTGTAAAAAAAAAAAAAAGTATACAGATCTCCTACAAAAATAAAGCTCCTTCCAAAAAACAGATGGACAATGTAACAGAAAAATGAGGCGTAACACGGCCGGGAACAGCTCATGCCTGTAATCCCAGGACTTTGGGAGGCCAAGGTGGGCGGATCACTTGAGGTCAGGAGTTCAAGACCAGCCTGACCAAAATGGCAAAACCCCTTCTCTACTAAATATACAAAAATTAGCTGGGCGTGGTGGTGGGCGCCTGTAATCCCAGCTACCCTGGAGGCTGAGGCCAGAGAATCACTTGAAACTGGGAGGTGGAGGTTGTAGTGAGCTGAGATTGTACCACTGCACTCCAGCCTGGGCGAACTCCAGCCAGGCGCAGTGGCTCACACCTGTAATCCTATCACTTCGGGAGGCCAAGACAAGCGGATAACCTGAGGTCAGGAGTTTGAGACCAGCCAGGCCAACATGGCAAAACCCTTTCTCTACTAAAAATATAAAAATTAGCCAGGCATGTTAGCACACGCCTGTAGTACCAGCTACTCAGGAGGCTGAGACAGGAGAATCGCTTGAACCTGGGAGGCGGAGGTTGCAGTGAGCCGAGATTGTGCCACTGCACTCCAGCCTGGCCAGGCAACAGAGGGGGGTGCCATCTCAAAAAAATAAAAATAAAAAAGCAGAACTCCATCTCAAAAAAAAAGAGGCATAACACTTGGAAAAGGTACCTCAAAAAACAAAATTCATGAGTAAAAATTAAATGAAGAGTTGTAGAAATGAAAACCTCAATGAGATACTGTTATACAACCACCTCACAGGCGATCTGACAATATCAAATGTTAACAAGGATATTGACCAATGAGAACACTCAGCCATCCTGGTGGTATAAGCCACTTGGTTTTTAAAAATTAATGTTGCAGATATATTTTTCCCTAGGTATATAACATAAACTGGTACATATGCACACCTAGATATATGTACAAGTATGTTCCAAGCAACAAAAACCACAAACAACACAAATGTCCCTCATCATATGTGTATATAGCCAAAAACTATAAAAAACACAAATGTCCCCCATCATAAGACTGAAGAAATTGTGGCGTAGTCCATAAAATATTCTACCTTTTTTTTTTTTTGGAGATGGAGTCTCTCACTGTCGCCCAGGCTGGAGTACAGTGGCGCGATCTCCGCTCACTGAAACCTCTGCCTCCTGGGTTCAAGCGAGTCTCCTGCCTCAGCCTCCCGAGGAGCTGGGATTACAGGGGACTGCCAGCACGCTTGGCTAATTTTTTGTATTTTTAGTAGAGACAGGGTTTCACTATGTTAACCGGGCTGGTCTTGAACCCCTGACCTCATGGTCCACTCGCCTCAGCCTCCCAAAGTGCTGAGATTACAGGCGTGAGTCACTGTGCCCACCCTCTTAAAGCAATGAAAAAATTGTTATTTATATACAACTTGAATAAATCTCACAAATCTCTTCAGTGAAAGAAGATGAAGAATACATATGGTATGATTCCATTTATATGAAGTTCAAAATAGGCAAATTAAAGAATGTTCTTTAAGGATGCATACAGAGGTGATACAACTATAAAAGCAAGGAAGAAAATTATGATCACAAAAGCCGGGGGAGTGGCTACCTCGAGGGAAGGTAGAGGAGGTTGTAAAGACCACAGCAAAGGCTTCTAAAGTGCTGGCAACGTATTTTTGGAAGTGGTATTAGAAGTGGTATTATCTGCGCTTTATGTATTATCTCAATGTCTGTAACATTAAGACTGTTAAGAAAGGAGTGATCCAGTAGAAACACAGATTCCACAGCACACATGACAGACTAGAGGTTTGATTTGGGAGTTCTTAGTAAACAGGTGATGAAACAGATGAGTGAAGCTTTGGAATTAAATCAAAAATGATGAGTGAGCCAAGGACAAAAGTTCCATGAAAAGAAATACTAAAGGAAGAGCAATAGAGAAGTCAGTGAAGGACTAAGGAGAATCCAATGAAGATGCTGAAGAAACATGGGGGAGAACTAGAAAAAGAGCTACAGCAGAAGACCAGGCAGAAGGGCAGAGTCTGTCAAAAGTGCCAACTGTCAGGAACAGAAAGGCAAGGCAGACAGGAAAAAAGGAACTGGATTTGGCAATTAACAGGTCACTGGTAAGCTTAAAGCAAATTATAAATCAAAAGGGGAAAGAAAAACATGTCATACCTCAAGAAGAAAGTCTATTTTCTCTTTATTTGGTCTAAGAAATAGTTGGTTAAATTGAACACTAATTGTTCTGCCTTCCAGTATATCACGAACTGTATTACAGGCACAAACTTTAAAACAGATTTCATCTAGAGCTTCATTTCTGTAGAATACAAAAGTAGATCAACTAATGTTATTTTTACTACAAAAGAAAGGTGTATATTACAAAATTATATTCACAAGAATAAGCCATTTGTTCTTGAGAGGTAAAATTTTAGAATATTCAAGCGTACTAATAAATATATAACAAATCACGGGGAGAAAGGAAGCAGAATAGGTTTTGAATTTATCAAGGGACAACTTAGTTACACATCAGACAACAGAATGAAATTTTGCTATGTATTATTTTTCCCCCAAGCGCTTTTTTTTTTTTTGAGACAGAGTCTTGCTTTGTCACCCAGGCTGGAGTACAGTGGCGCAATCTCGGCTCACGGCAACCTCCACCTCCTGGGTTCAAGTGATTCTCGGCGCGGCGCGGTGCCTCGCTCCTGAGTGCTGGGACTACAGGTGTGCACCGACCAAATGGGCATGCCCGGCTAATGGGGTGCGTGGGTCTCTCGTGTGTGGGTAGAACGTGGTTTCACCATGGGCCAGACCTGAGTCCTCAAACTCCTGACCTGAAGTGATCACGCACCTCCAGCCTCCAAAGTGCTGGTGAATTTACAGCATGAGCCACGTGCCCGGCCTCAACAGCACATTAAAACAGACTATTAATTTTCTCTTATATTAACGACATTGAAAAAAATCACAGAGCCATAGTCATTTGAAGATTGTGGTTGATAAACAGAATGCACTTGCTGTTCTATTCAAAATCAAAAAGTAACTTTTCAAGCTTACCCCTGTTTCGGGTTGTGTTCAGAAAAGCGCCCTGTTATTCATTAGGGGGACTC